TTAATCATATACAGCAGTTTTTTTTTCGTTCAAGTGTGCCGTGATTATTTTCTGCGATAATTTGGCACCGCACGAAAAAACAGTTTGGAAACCTCTGGGCCTTAAAAAATTCTACGGGCGATTTCCACACATTCACTCCAACTAGGGTTCACTTGAGTTTTTTCTAGTTGGTCATTCGAGGCGACAACTTGACCAATACTGGTTATCTATCGCTCATCCCTAATTTTTTGGTCTGTATACTTCAGGGCTTCCCAAACAGGAGGTCGCGACCCCACAGGGTGACGCGCAACGAATTTTAGGGGTCGCAAAGACCAATTTCACACGAAGAACTATATCTATTGTACTTTTGATTCGAAATACATTTATTAAAACTAGTGCAAAACATAAATTTCACGCTTTCGAGCGAATGCATATAGGATCAGAGAAGCGGCGCATTATAGCATGTTAAGAGGCTGGTAATTACCTATTTAATCCTAACCTAATCAAAGAATACTAATCAGAAAATTAGTGGACGATCGATATCAATACAATACCTCCAAGCAGATGTTTTACAAAAATAATATGATACTGTCCATCAGAAAGGATTTTAGCAATAAATAACTAACTTATGAAAATTACCAGCGATCAACTCGCGGGCCTGACATAATTCGTGTCGTGTCGACGCCTTTTTTGACCTGTCAGTCCCGGAGAAGGGAATAAGTGGTAATAAATGACTAATAGGTATTTTATATGAACATTATATCCTCAAACCAGCTTCATTGAGAATGTTAAGATAGAACACCTGTTTTGACGATAATTTAAAAGTTAGATACTGTCAGTCATTCATTTTGTTACGGACGCGATTGCCTAGGGTAGGGGTTCTCATTATTTTTGTGTTCCGGATCCCGTGAACAGGTTGATTATTATTCACGGAGCCCCAGAATGAATTTACAAAAATAACAACATTGTTACTGTGTGATTAATGTTCCTGAGTAAACTAAAATTACTTTATTTATTGACCCGGGCGTATTTGCTGCTTTGTAATAAAAGAATATTCAGTATTTTAATAAGTAAATTGAATAGCCCGTGGGTCCACTAGGTTTCTTATGGAAGATATATCGAGAACTGATTTGATAACAAAATTGAAATTGTAAAGAGGCTTCATGGACACTCATTAAATAAGTATCAATGTTAGTAATACCATACCAACACAAAGTGGAATTTCTTACCCGAAACAATTAACTGGAATTCTTCCTGGTTGGTAAACTCTGGCCTAGTGGCTAACAAAATACGTCTAGTTGCAATAGCGAAGACATAGGTATATTGGCGTTGCAGGTTAACGATCCTTGGACCAGCGTTTAATATATAGGAAGGTAATGATAGTTTACTGTCAGTCACAAGACCGGCATTACTTGCGAGACGGCGTCATGTACGAGGCGACTGCGCGGGGCCCAGTTTGGTAGAGATAATGGTAATAGGTAAATATTGATTTATGTAATAGAAACTAAGGGTGTGAGATTTCCATTTTCATTGGGTATTATCGAGACTGCTGCTCCTGTATACCATTGTATTTCATTTCCTGCTACTTTGAAAGGTTTTATTTGATATCAGTGACGCTGATGGACACCTTCATTTATTTTTGCATCTTATATCTTTATTAAATATTTTGATTCTGTCGCTTCATCTGCAATGAGGCTGTTCTCTGTTTTTCTTGTGGAGTTTTGTTTTTCGGTTCCACGATGTCAGATACCTCCAGAATCGACACTGTCAGTGACTGTGATGTCATTTGCGCTCTTGCAAAAAAAAAATTGTCCGCTCCTAGTCCATACAAACTTTTAACAAAGCAATAGTAAAATAAAACGGTCGCAATATATATACAAATTAGTATATATAGCGACTTTTATTTCTATTTTTGGCCCCGATGAAGATTGACCATAAAATCGTGCAAAATTTTCAATCGTTAATTCTTAAATTTTTTGAACACCCTCTATATACCGTTGAGTATATATGGTGACTGTTATTTTCTATTATTTGCCCTGATTATGTTTGTCTGTGTAGACATTTAAAATGTTTGCTTCTCACCGGTTGTGCATGTTATTTGTACTAACAATTTATATATCGAAAAATACCAGCCAATGTTCTGATAGTTTCACTGAGATTTACTGTACTTTTCTTCGAAATGTCACTAGATATTCCATATATTTTTACAAGTCCACTTACAAGGGATTAAGATAAATAGCGCGGGAAACAGCTGCAAAGTATTGTTAAATGATTGTTTTGTAACAATGATATGGTATTTTACGGACAATGAATTTGAAATTGTCCATCATGAAGAAAATTAGCCCAAAGTTTAAGTCAATTATGACGGAGAAATAGTTTTTTAATAAAAAATGGCGACGCGGAAAGTATAGTCAGTATACTATTAAAGAGCATATTTAAAAATTCCTCAAATCAGGGTTCCAAACCCTAAACGAAAGGTGATAGAGTACTGATAGAAGAGTTGCAAGTCTGCTTAATGCGAGGTCCCGAGTCCTCAATTAAATAAAAGTACTGATAGAAGAGTTGCAAGTTTGCTCAAATCAAGGTTGTGAGCCCGAGGCCTCAACGAAAAGGGGAAACAGTACTTAGAAGAATTGAATTTGTTCAAAGCAAATTCCCGAGTCCCTCTCAACTAAATTTAAGTTTCAACTAGAGAACATCAGAAGTAGTTAGGAGTCGAAAACACGAGTCAGATTATTTCAAACCAAAAACCGGATTCAAAGTTGAAATATTTCCGGAGCTCGGAGTCCAATCCGTCAAAATCATCTTTTTTTTAAACAAGGAATCAGAATTGTTCAATTGTATTTTGGATAAAAACGACATAAAAATAAGTGAAAATATAAAAAATAAATCATTGATAACACTATCTTTGGAACTGATAAAATAACTGATAATTCACTGATCAAAAACCGAGTTTTTTCACTTGTCCAAATTTGAGTAAAAGTAATGAATTGGGTGAAAAAATACGAAAAAACAAAACAGTTATAACTATCTTTGGAACTGGTACATTGATAAGACTACTGATAAAAAAGTTGTTTTTAAATTGTCCGAATTTGGGTAAAAAGTAATAAATTTGGTGAAAAATATAAAAATGAACAATAAACACTTTTTTCGGAATTGATAAATTGATAATACTAATGATGAGTAACTGATAAAAAATTAAATATTTTTATCAAAATATGAAAAAACGAAGTGCCACGAGATAAATTTGATAGAACCATTGATAAAAATTGAAAAAATAAATATACGAAAAAAGGAAATGCCAAGGGATAAAATCGGCAAAAACAGACATAATAAAATAAGTATATTCCAATGAAAGTTACAATCAGGAAACCGCCTTTCTGCGGGTCTTCCCATTTAAAAAAAAGGTCAGAGAATGAATAAAATAGAACCATGCGCCACGTTTGAAATAGCATAACAGGACACATTTAAATAATATAGTTCGACATCTAGCTGACAGGTTAGCTTAGAGCTGATCTAGGGACCACGAATATATTCCTATTTTCATTTTATGCTGTGTTAGACCCCATCTAGGTGTCGCTGCTCGATAACCAGTACTGGTTTTCAGCGTCTCCATCCACCCTGTAAATACTTTCATTATTTTATTCTAATCGTATATGTAAGTTGCTTATTACTTATCGATTCTAATCGGTAAGTATGTTGATAGGTATTTGTCTGTATGTCTGTTAGAGTGTATCTCACGAATGCGAGATTGAGTCTGCTCCAGATTTTGCATGTGCATTTATCTTATCTAGGACCAGAAGCCTATTGATTTTGGGCGAATTATGTCGTATAATTAGCGAGTTATTAATTAATTAGTGATGGGACTCAAGGTGTCACTATGGAGTAAGAGCGCTGTTTTGGGGGATCCCCTAAATTTCGATCGATAAGTCTTCGATCTCTGACCGATATTCTCGTTTTCCGTATTGATGGAAAAATAAATTACTGATACTGAATATACTCGTAAAAATATCTAAAATCCCTCTCATTCGTTATAGAATTTTAGCATTTTTTGAGAAGTCAGTCAGTACGGTACTCCTGAAGTATGTGAACCAAGATGGCGGACACCAGAACGTAGTATGTGTACCAGGTTAGGGTTAGGCCATAATTTTATTCCAATTCTCCTTTTGTTAGTTCTATTACAAGTTTGGGACGGGGACTAGCCAAGTGACTACCGTGGTATTTGTACCTGATATTACGGCCTAACCCTAACACATACTACGTTCCGGTGTCCCAAATCTTGGTTCACATACTTCGGGAGTACCGTGAAAACCTGTAGAACTGTATAATGGCTCTTTCATATGATAGGATCAGTACCGTATGCATGCGGGGTGTTTCACTACTTTTTGTCATATTGGAGATCCATATGGATTTTAACAGGGGGTTGACACTGACCCCGGAATATAGACCAACCAGCGCTTCTCAAACTGGGGCTCTCGGCCCTTATTAGGTCACAGAGCGGGTCCATGGGGGATATGATCCAAGGCTTCCACTGGGTAGCATTCGCGACTACAACTTGAAATATGTTGACTCATTTGTCTAATTATATAAGTGTGATGCATTTAGGTTTGTCATTTCAAAATTGCATACAGAATCAAAACAGTGAAGGTTGAGGCTGTTCCTAGAATATAAGGCTAACCGGGGGTTCTCAAAATGGCCCCTCGGCGGTTGTGAATCGTCATTTCTATGGGAGCCAAGAGCAAATGTATTCACTGTAGCTATCCGCGTTGACTACAATAATTTGAAGGAATTTGACTATGGTTTGTTTAATTCTTTAAATGTAATGGATCAATTCTTTAACTTTCGTTTGTTGTATTTTTTTATCAAGCGTGGCATTATTTTTAATAAATAGAAAATTGCCCATGGATCGTTGAGAGTTTTTGGAAAGGGCCCGAAGTTCATGATAGTTTTTAAAGCCCATGCACTAAAAAGACGAAGAGCGAAGTATTCATTTGTTTGCAAAAGTCGCGATGCATCAAACAAAACAGTAGGGTAATAATTATATTAAAATATGGATAAGATTAAAAAAAATCTCGCCATTGTTCATCATTTCAGTCGATATTTCAAAGAGCAATAGTTTGATCCTTATGATCTGATTAGACGACGGGTCTGTATAAATGCGCCAGGGCGTCGTCTAGCGTCTGTCGTTTATAGTCTTTCCACATGAACGATTGACGAAGATTTTGTAGGATTTCGTGTTGCTTTGGAAATGGCGGGAACTGAAAGAAAGTGATATATTATTATAAATGAGCGGCATAGTATACCCTCTGAGGCGTTCTTTAAATTGAGTGACTGGTCGGAATCAGTGGTGAGATTCATAAGGGTTTTAGACCAGGGGTGTGCAACATTTTTGTCGGTGGGCCATAATCGATTTTTGTGGAAACGTTTATTCTACTAAGCTATAGCCCATAGGCTCATGCTTCTCGATTTCATTCCGTCGATTTCGGCTCTCTGTCATCTCTTGCGGAACCAAACCAACCCACCGGGGAAATATTTCAGTTCAATCAAAATTGTAGCTCCGAGCATACCAGTAGCCTTTATACAGAGCCATGTTCATAGTCACGCGTAAAAAAAAAACTATTTCTAATATTCCAGCCTGATTTTTGATCGCCTATGTTGAGATTTTTACCCGATCGAAAACAGCCGTAACCGTTAGTGTTCACTTGCCCTTTCACCGCGACACATATTAGTTTCATTTATTGGCACGTAGTGGACATACTGATCGATTCGTTAATCTGTAATTGTTGTTTTTTAAAATTTTCTTCATATCGTTTTGAACAAAAATTGCTTTTCTCTTCAATTACTTGCCCAATTGCTTTGAAATTGTCAGTGGTTGAAGATTGTATCTTTTGCTTGAATTCTATCACTTTTATATATTCCAAAATATTTTATTTTTTATGAGAACACGGCTTTTTATCCGCCAAGCGAGCTGACCTGATACCGCTGGGTACGGTACGAAATGTACTTACTTTATTTTGATTTCGTGCGCATATATTTGAGCATCGCTCTTCATTAATTATATAGCTATAACAACAATATATCAGAAAATGTAACAAATCCGAAATATATCGTATTTACAAAAATAGTAGGTATATTAGACGCTGCTTGTACAGAATTTGAGTTGCACAAAAGGTCGGCCACCTACCTTCATATTTATCAAACTATAGACCGTCTCATCAGCAAATTTCTGGAAGAATTTCTTGTTTATCTGAATGACCTCTGACCCGCAACTTATGAGGCTGACACTTGACCCCCGTTGGTCTTTAGGAAGTACAGCCAGGAAGCCCTGAATAAATGAGATTCTTTATTATAAATTTTTGTATTTTTTCGAATTTGCTGAAATAAAAATTACCTGTATGCACTCAGTAGTAAAAGCTACTAAAAGAATAATGTAGCTGATTACGCGCCCTCACTCACTCGGGAGTGAAAAAGACCCATCTCTGAGCAAAATCACATGCACCCACTCAGGAGCAAAAAATACTCGTCTCTGAGCAATAACACGGGCACTCACTCGGAAGTAAGGAAGTCTCATCTCTGAGCAAAGTTATACGCACTCACTCAGAAGCAAAAGATACTCGTCTCTGAGCAAAAACAAGGGCACTCACTCGGAAGTAAGGGAGACTTATCTCTGAGCAAAGTTACGTACACTCACTCAGAAGGAAAGGAGATTCATTTTCCAGCAAAGTTACGCGCACTTTATCAGAGGTAAAGACAATTCATCTCTGAGCAAAGTTACAGACTACCACTCAAATACTAAAATCAACGAGCACTCATTTAGTAGTAAATGAAACTCATTTCTGAACAAAGTAACGATCATTGAAATGCCAAGGTCTATCGAACGCTTGGCACGACAGACAATATTCAGAAAAATTCTCAACATATACTTACAAAGCTATCCCCGACTCCGAGCACCTCTAAGGCCACGTATACCGGTCTGTTAACCTTAGGTCCGTACAATGAGACAAGAAATGGGCTTCGTTTCATTGGGGTCTGAGAACGTTGGCGCATCGCCTCCTGAATGCAAGAATGATACTCGATAAAGCTGAATAAATGGCACAGAGTATGGAGAATTATTATTTATCGATCTCGCTCGGTGGGTATGTTGATAGGTATTTGTTTGTCTGTTAGACACTCGCGATATCCCACGAAAGCGAGGGTAAATCTGCTTCAAAATTTGCATGTGCATTCACCATATCTATCATACCCGAAGCCTATTAATTTTGGATGAAATATGTCGTATAATTAGAGTGTTACTAATTAATTAGTGATGGGACACGCGGTGTCGCTATTGAGTCAGAGTGGAGGAATCGAAACCGCAGATCGATAAGTTGGCGGTCTCCGATCGCTATCCAGTTTTTCACGGGTTGTCAAGTTAATTCACAAATCCGTACTTATTAGACTACAGGTTCAAAATTATGACTCCAGCACCTACCGCCTATACGATAATAAAACACAGACTTCGGTCAGCGTTGGGAAGAGAATTTCTGTTCAAAATAAAGTTTTGACAGGATTTCGATTCCGGACTTGAAAAATTTGACTCCGGCTCCGTAAGGTTCAAAATACAGTTTCGATTCGAATTATCAACTCTCTACTTTAACGATTAACAAAGCAAAACGGCTGGCAACTCCTGTGGAGGAAGTATATTTTATGTCAGGTTGGTGTCTGGAGTCTGGTTTTTGAACGGAATTTAGGCGTAAATTCTAACTCGATATATTCAGTGCCGGTCTTAGGCCATTGCGACCAATGTGGGTGCTGTGCGCCCTACTCTTTCACATCGCTAATTCTAAGTGTAAATTATTAATTTTAACCCGTTAGAACAGTGGTTCTTAAACTTTTCGAGCCGCGCCCCCCTTTGAAAAATTTTATAAACTTCGCGCCCCCCCCTTTTTTCTTTGAAAATCTGCTTTTGTGATGGGCTGGTTGATCTGTGTGTTTAAAACACACAATAATAACAGACTTCTTGGCTTGCCTAACGTCTCCAAAATTCACTACCAATACCCTTGGACAACCACCAGGTTCAAAAATACAGTTTACAAAATGGAGAAGTGTAAATAAATATATGTACATTTTTAGCAAAAAGAAAAGAAGTTCTAAAAGTTATTATGCATGTGGACGATTCCCCGACCTTGACCGCTGAAAAATAAAGTAGCATGACGTTTGCGATTGCATTTTGTTTAAATATCCGATTGTTTCCGTCAGCCGCGACAGATTAAAAACACTTTCTTAGACGTTGCAAACCTCATAAATTCTTTGTGCCTGCGGCACACCTGTAATGTTCTAAAACTACCGACTTGAAATGAATTTTTCTCCGTGGGATTTATCACAAACTTGGGAATTTCTCTAACAATGATATCTGAAAATTAATCATGTAGCAGCATTGCAATGGCGCGGAGTAAGAGTTGCAGAGAAAGCTCATATTGATATAATTTGCAAGAATATGAATCAAAACCAAATGTAATCTGGCAGTTTACAACCCATTTTTATGTCTGCGAATTGCCGTGGTATTTTGGGGTAGGGGTGCTTTTGTTTTATTAAAGCAATCGCAAGTTAATTATTTACAATTAAATAAATAAAGCAACCATTTTAAATATGTATATCGGTCATGAATCTAATATTTTATTCAACCATCATAAAAACCATTACATATCCGTTGAAAAAGTCGACTCTTCTAACGAGTGGCGTAATCTCAACGACTGATCCATGCAGGAGCTGTATCGCGGAATTTCGGGGTTACCTTGGACACAAAATAATTAAAATAGAGAGACATTTTGAATTCTTGTTGTTAACATAGATTGAATATTACGAGACAGAAAAATTTATTATAATGTGAAAAAGCCGGCATTTATAACACAACGCGGAGATCGTTGTTAGGAGCCGTTGCATGGAAATTTCTGATTCCATTTTGTGACTTCTCGCGCCCCCCCTGAAATCATCTTGCGCCCCCCAAGGGGGGCGCGCCCCCCAGTTTAAGAACCACTGCGTTAGAAGTTACAATTACGTACCGTTTTGGTAATATAGTGGATAACTTGTCACACGCAAGACTCGTAAAATAGGTTTATCAAGATTTCGTGCTTAGTTAAAAGGTGATAAAATGTAAAAATGAATTTATTTTCTATTACAATCCGTTCGCATAGACAATAGATAGGACTGACTAGGCGTTAAATATATCTGAATTACCTGTATAGCTGCGGTCGCTGCTTCATCGTAGTAGCCATGAGTTTGTGGGCGTGACAGGGGTGTGGTGAAGAATGTCGAGGAAGGTGGGACAGCGCTGATTCGATCCTCGCTTGGTTCCGAGACTGGAAAGGAAAAATTGTATGGGAAAATAGCGGTAAATATTTTACTTCAGAATTTCCGGGGTGGTGTACTACGAGCCATGAAAAAAGCGTCTTCACTAAATACCATTCTAGCTGTTTGTCTGGAAATACGCGCGAGACATCAATTAAAAGTTTAAATAGACTTAGTCATGATATAAAAATTCTTTCCACATACCGTCAATATCGTTTTCAAGGTTCTTGGTTTCAATTTCTTTCAATAATTTCTGACGAGCGTGTTTGGCGAGAAGTTTCTTTATCCTAGAAAAAGTAAGAATGGTTGGTGCACTTTGCTAAGCGTCAGGAACGTTGGTTATCGCAAATTTGATAACCCTGTGTTCTTGTATTTGTAATACTTATTGGACACGTAGTGGACATAACGATCGTTTCAATATTATGTTGTTGTTCTTGTTCTTTGACACGTTTTTAAAAAGTCGCTTTTCTCTTCGAATACTGGACCAATTGCTTTGAAATTTTCAGTGGTTAAAGATTAATTTTTTCGCTAGAAGGCTATTACTTTTATTTATTTCAAAATTTTGCGTGAATTCTATGAAATTTGATATTTCGTCTAAAATTTTGCTGTATTATTTTTTATCCATGGGAACACGGATTTTAGTCAGTGTCATGACTGGCTGTACGTTTTGATTCTGCAAAATTTTTGCTACTGGAAATTCAGAACTTTTTTGAGGGTACCGGTAGCGTCAAAGGTACCGGTAAGGACTGATTCGCTCTGGTCTAACGTGTCCATATATTTGTGCGTAGCTCTCTTGTAATTTATTCTTATACCCCAGAGAATTTTCTTGTGAATAGATGCCAATTTACCTTGTAGGTAATATTTTTACGCTACCAATTTTCTTTCGTTGCATCATCTCCTCCATGTATTAGACGTAGTTTTGTGGTAACTCAGTAAACTTAAGACATCTACATGCGCAAAACTAAATTGTGATATGCCCGTGAGTAGGGGTTTGCATAGAAAAAATTGGCGCTCCTGAACCCTAACCTGTTACAATACTATGTTCAGCTTTAGCGCCATCTTGGTGCACATACTTCGAGAGCACCAAAAAAATAATAAATTGTAGATAAATTAAAAATGTACCAATATACCAAAATACACCTACCTTGCCGGGTCTTCTTCCGGTTCTCCGGGTTTCAAACATTTGACCACTTTACACTGTCCAGATTTGATAATGTAAACCCAGTCACATCGACCACTGTCTTCGACTATCAGAGTTCCTGTGAAATCATAGTAATTACGCGTTATTGGCTGCTTGTGTAGACCATTGGGTGCTATGGAGGTAACTAATTTTGTTTGCCTACTTTACATCAACGTGTGTAAAGGGACTGAAACCTATGGGCAGGGGGTATATTCACTTGGCTAACACAGATAGTCCCCGAACTCGTAATAGAACTAAAATAAGGAAAATAAGTATAAAATTATGGCCTAGCCTTACTCTGGTACACACATTCCGAGAGTACCTACCCCTGTTAACAGCATATAACAGCTGTTAACGGAGATAAAACGTCTAATGAAAAGATTTAGGGTGACAATGAGTTCGGGACTCTTTTCCCGGGCCAGGGAAGGTTCTCCACAACCCTCCAGGTCCCTGTGAAATATGAGAGCATCAAATTTACGGCCACAAATGGCTCCGCAACGTCAACATAATTGCAGCCGAATTGTACAGAATTTCATATGCAGGTGTGCCGAATGTCATATGAAGGTGTTCAAGAATGTCAAGAGGTGTGTGCATGAATTATAAAAATAAAAATTGAGATGGAACAGATGACCAGGTCATTTCGGTCGAGTCATACTGCTTTCCGTAGCAATGGATTGCACAAGGCCTTGTTCAGTGCAAGGGTGTGAAACGCCAAAGCCTCGGTATGACCTGACGCACTTGTAACTACATCCCTGGAGAACGCCCGTGACGCAGGTTCTAGATGCCTACTATTAAATGGAAAGGTCGAATCTTTACGATTCGGCATTTATTCCACCTTTGCCAATTTATTCTACCCTTGGATGAGGTGAGAATCACGGAATTTTAACACGATAGCCCTAATTACCCTGCGAATCAGTCAGATCAAACGCTCTTACCGGGTTTATAGTTTTGCATAGTCCATGATCCCGGGTTCTCGATCAGCTTCTGCAACGGCCAGTGATGGAAGACAGGGTTCTTTCTACAGATTGACAAACTGGAAATATCCTTCGAACCTTTGGCGAAGCAGATGTCTTTGTAGTCCTTAGAGAAAAAAAATTGTTTTGAAAGGACAGTAATTTTGCGAAAAGTCTGAGTTGTTGTGCTGCTGAGAGTACGGATATACGCTTTGTTCGAGGAGGAGACTCATCTCTTACCAAATTCATACACATTCGCCCGGAATTAAAATCGACTTATCTCTGACCTGAGATATACACATTCACCCAAGGGTAATAAAGACTTATCACTCAGATGAAGCAACGGAAAGCCACTAAAAAACAAGAGCTAACTGGGCTCATACAGAAATATGGTGAGGCATTATGCGACTAACCCCGAAATAAAAGAGACTCATGTCTGAGCTGAAGTTACTGAAAACTGTACTGCAGTTTCAAGAGATACTGAAACTATATCAAAATTAGCGGTGCATTATGCGCCAATTAAATAACCGATTGATGAGAGACTTGAGTCAATGCGATCAGAAAACCAAGCTTGAAGTAGTGAATTCCACATAAGGAATTTCTTTGTCCAGAGCAATAAGTCAAGAACTACCAAAATTATATTCATACACCGCGTCTAACAGAACGAGCGCTTCGTACTTACATCTCCCACAAACGAAAAATAACTCAAGTGCTGTTTTGAGTTGGATGCTCAGTTTATTGGGGTAACTTTGGTTATGACCATTCGCTGGCCATACATTTATACTGGGTTTAACACTGATATGGGCGAATTACGGCCCGTTGCCACAACAAAATTTCGATGTTTCAGCTAAAAAATAGCTCAAGGAATTTGTTGAGATTGCGACTAGATTTAGTTTTTTCACAAGGCTTATTGTTTTTCACTTTTGCTTTCGTAATACTATAAATATTGCTCATAAAATGTACATTTTTACGTCACAATTACATGGCTCTCCGGTCTAGATGGGCGAAATTTTTAGCTCGTGGTTCGAAAACCTTGCCCAGCCCTGGTTTAACAGATATATCTGCTTGATACGTCTCACTTACATCTCCATAAACGACAAATAACTCTGCCGTATCTTGGCTCATCACAGTCGCCGCACGTTTGCTTTTAGAGATGATTTCCTCTTCTCCAAATTTATCGCCACGCTTGAGTAGTGTTGTGACCATGTGACCAGTTTCTTCTTCACCATTGGCTACAACTGAAAAAATAGGGCGGGGTTTAATTCGTATTTAGGCCCCACGCACGAATAACGCCGCAACCATATGACCTGGATTTATTGTATCATTGGCTACAACTAAAAAAGGTGGGGCTTAATTTGCCACGCTTGAGTAACGGCTTAACCATGTGACGTGGTTCTATCTCACTATTGGCCACTATTCATTATCAGCGTTTAAGGCCTTGTTCATGGTAAAATACAGACTTAGCAGCTTCCAACAAATCAGTGGGAGTTTACCTGAAACCTTGTTCGGGAGAAATATATAAGACCTGTTTACAAGCAAAAACCAATATATATTTATTGTACTTTCCACAACATCAGAAATTTACTCACGTCTTCCGGAAATGACGTAATAAACACTTTGTCCCACGTGACCGGATCTTAACAAAACTCGATTCGGTTCGACAGTTTGTAGCCAAGCACATTCGCATAATCGACGTTGTATGCTCAGCGGAAAACGAGCGAAAATCTCCATTTTTTGCATTGTTCTCATGATCTGTGATGTAATAATTATGTTGTATTTGAAAATTACATTGGCGGGAAGGAGGTTCTGACAGGCCGTAACCTGGGGTCGGAGTGTTGGATTGTTTCAGATCTATGGTTTTCAATTTTTATTCTTTCGCGGTAAATTTTTCCTGCAAAAAAATTTTGCGGTCAATTGGGTTTTTCATATAAGCGCAGAACTACAGAAAAAAATTTTTCTGCAAAAAACAGACAATTTCGCTTTGAAAATTAGAATGAAAATTGCCACCCTGTAGCAAAAAAGCAACTTCAATTATTGCTACTGCCATCTTTAACTAAATTTATCCAACATATATTTATATTTTTATTTATCCTCAAAAATATTGTCTACACATGTGAGATGAGGTCCATCGTTTGAGAAGCACTGCTACAAATTAATATGAAGTTGTAGATTTACAGAGATTTGAATTCTAATATTTTGTGACGTAATTTCTCAGTTTTGCAAAGTAAATTTTGACGGTAATCATAAGCCATTGTGTAAATGGAGCAAAAGTAAGAATTTAGATAAGTTGAAATATCATTCTATATATTTTCTCAGCTTGTCGAGCGTTAGGCTTATGCATCATTCGGTGTTTAATCAGGTTTCATTAACAACTTCAGCAGCTTTTGATAGCTCATTTCAAAATATTTCTATGTCCCAGCAGTGGTCTATGGCCCACTGGTTGAGAACCGGTATATTTGATTGATACCTGAGTCGGAGTTCCGTTTTAAAACTTGTGATGCAGAATAGGAGTCAAAATTTCGAATTGTGGTTTTTATTGATTGAGTATTTTTAAATTCCCGGGAGTCAAAGTCGAAATTTTGAATGACTTGAATTAAGAGTGCGAATTTCAGATTTTCAATAAATAATCAAAGTTAGGATTTCCGACAGAAAGTCCAGAGCCTTGAGATTGAGTATTTACAAAAGATAACTGTTTTTGTTATCAGTGATTGGCTTTCTCGAAGCTGTAGCTGGAGGCAGGGATAAAATATTTTTGACAGCCTACACTTTATTTTGTGTTATTTATAGCAGGTGAAAATTTGAAATCTTGCAGCTGGGGTAGTTCTTATTCTTTTTAGGAGTAGGCTCTCCGTCAATCGGATTGTACAAAAAGTCACTGATATTTGAGGAAGGTTCCCGGTTCAATATTGCCTACTCCCCCTAGGTGGGGATTTTTACCTTTAAACTAAAAATAGAAAAAATGCTGATGGCTTTCACTGACACACCGAGGGTGTATACACATTTCAGTTATGCAGGCTTTTCCAAACCAAGGAATCGGCCCCTCAACTTTCAAGAAACTAACTACCAAACGGGACTTGAACGCTTCAAAGTCGCAATGTCGGGAAAACAATCGGACTGGAAAGGAATACTCACATTCAGAACCTCTTCTGGGGTTCGATCTCCCGGTCGCTTGCGTAGAAGATCTTTAATCTTCACTGGCATGACGTCGACGTCTTTTGATTGGCGGCGAAATTTACTAAGGTCAAAGGTAAGTTCCGGGTCGTCAGTTGTGAGAGCGGCTGTAAAGTGTGAAGTATAAGATAAGTCAGTGCGAATAACAGAGCTGCGACAATTGACTACGGCAAGATACTCCGGATTGATAAAAATTTGACATCGACTTTGGTTGTAAAAAATGCAGACTTTATCTTTCCGAGAAAATCGTATGACGTATGCAAGCCTGCTTCCACGGGCTGTTAAAATTGCTTAATAAACCTACTATTTCTTAAATTTCAATAAAAAAATTTATTGTTTTATCCCCGCTAAACGTTCTGAAATTCCGACTTGAGAGAATTCAAAATATTACGAATCCTACTTCCGACTCCGGGCAGACTCGGGTCAGGGGCGTAATGAGAGGGGTGGTTTTGCAGGTCGGACCACTTTAAGATTTTGTAGCCATTTGAGCATTGGCCAATTGCGTTCAAAGTTAAATTGTTTCAGTGGCTGACTTATGAGTGGCTACTATTTTCCAGAAACGAAAGCTGCTATATTAGACAGACAGGGTGCCCGACTTATCAAACCATGGGTGACGAAACCGAGATTTTTAACCTGCAATACACAAGACCATCCAAAAGAGATTTATGCTTTTAGCGTACCTTTCTTTTTCTCTTTATTCTGATCTTTGCTGACGTCACTTTCACGTAACAATGCTTCTTTCAATGCCACCCAGTTGTTCTGCGCAACGGAGAAAGTCATATTTCTGTGAAAATGTTCGGAGTTGCAATAAATATAAATCCATGTTACTTACGAGTAAAAAGGAAACAAACTATCATCACAGAAGTAAATTAGCTTACGACAAACTTGCTAAACTGTGTGTCGCGACTGTAAAGTCGGCTTCAGAATTTCACACTTTCTACGGGGATGATATAAAATTTTCTACAAAAAACTTGAGAAGGCTTAAAATTAGACATTTATACGCCAATATTTTGAATATCGAAACTTGCTTTACTCGGAGATTGAGTCGAGTCAATATATTTCGAAACCTAGATTCGGGAGTCGAAGCCGAAACCATTTGTCGATTTTCTCTGATTTCTGAACACTGACAAAAGTGAGCAATCACTTTCTCCAACCCTGTATCGTTTAGCAATTGATAAAGTAAAATTAGGGCGTTTAAAAAATTGAAGGTACTTACTTCTTGCAAGCTAGACATACTGAAGATAGGATTCGGATCACTCTTGCTGCCCGTCTGAATCGAAGTAGCGGCTGAAAATATGATTTATGGAAGTTAATACGATATCTCACTTTGCAGATTTGTGTGTAGTAATGTTCTTTACTAATAATCATTACTCTTTTAATATTGTAGTAATAAGTTATAATGCGCAAGGTATTAATTATCCACACTGTAGAAATTCACAGTGCGAGTTTCACTAGCTTAGGACTATAAGCTAACGAAAAATGAAAACAGAGTTAATATATCCAATCAAAGAGTCCAGCTGAACACTAACACAAATGTATTTCTGTAACGTTTCGTCCGACCAGAGTCAGACTTCCTCAGACAAGCATTGATTGTTGTAAACTGCTTGTCTGAGGAAATTGAATAGAATAGTCATGTTTATTCCAGCTACAGTATCCTTACTGTATACGCATATGGATCCACTAGCATAAAGGCATAGAGAAAACATAGGAAGTTGGTCTCGCGCAATCCAACTCAAATTTAAAGTTAATTAGCACAAAATTTGAAGGTCAGATGAGATCACTAATAAAATGCGTGTCACAGAAGCCTATCGGTACTGTATTGCAGCTAAGAAGCAGATTTGAACTTACGCAAAAGTGGGACCACCACAAAGAGCGCAATTCCCAATTTTGATGACATCATCGCAAACAAAAAACGAAGTGCGTACAGTAATTTGAAATAAAAAAAAATAATAACAAAATAACAACCTCGATCCATAGGTACACTTCGTGTCCGAAAAGATTGGAAACGACTGCCGTAATGCAGGGATAGTATAGCAATCGAAAAGGTTTATTGAGTGGCTATAACACAAGTACAAACCGGTATAAATGTGACTTCGACTTTCCCTTCGCCTTCGATTGCAGGATGGTAATTTCGTGCGAACATCGATACTCTCCGCATGGACATTGCAGTTGCCTGGAACTTGCCTCGCATTCCAGGCTGCAAGTTTGGGATTGATCGTCTCTGTCCATCTCCTGTGTGAATGAATAATTATTAAAAGGGAACACTGGAATTTATCGTATGTAATTTTTATACAAATTCCTACTTTTACTGCTCTTGTGTGAGGGAATAATTATTAGAAGGGAACACTGACATTTATCGCGTGTTATTTTTAAATTATACAAATGCTGATATAACTGCTCCTGTGTGAAAAAATATTTATTAAAAGGAAACACTGGAGTTTATCGCATGTAATTTTTATAGAAATAATAATTTCACTTCTCCTGTGTGAAGGAATAATTATAAGAAGGTAACACTGAAATTGATCGCATTTAGTTTTCATACAAATGCTGATCTCACCTCCCCCATTGGAGGGAATAAATATTGGAAGGGAACACTGTGATTTAGCGCATGTAGGATTTATACAAATGCTGATTTCACTTTTCCTGTGTGTGAGAATAATTATCAAAAGGAAACACTGAAATTTATCGCATGTAGCTTTTATATAAATGCTGAGTTACCTGCTCTTGCGTGGAGGAATAATTATTATCAATTTTTGCGCGAAGTTATTATATAGTTTACTGCATACTCAAGTCTGCGGCCCACGAGGAAAAACTCAGTTGAATCTGGTACGTACGAGTAATTTTGATCTATTTGCATTACAAAGCCAATACCCGAGCCCAATTTACTATCTATGCCTATGACGTTAAAATGCCGAAACAGCTAACTTGTGCAAAGCGAACAACGCATGTCATAGGAACAATGACCCAAATTTTTGTGCATGCAAATATTAGAAAGCGTATGTTAAATAATACGACAAATAAATACTTGTATCTGCCCTCTTGTATTAAAGGTTGCATACTCCTGATAAATGATGACTCGTGTCTAGTAAAAGACTAGACCTTTCGAATACCGGCTCATACATCCACTTTCGTAGTACACAAGAATTTGGTAAATTTTTGATTTCTGTTAAAAGCACTATTGATTCGTCATAATACGATGTAAAAATACTTTTGTGTGATCACAAAGGTGTGTTAGGATTTTTCTTTTGTGTTCAAATAATAGAAACCCGGCACGATTGCTGACAACATTTTGTCAACGATTGTTCATCACAATGTACCAACAATGTATTGAATTGTGTCATAACATAGGACGTAGAAAAATTGACGACCTCAGCTGGCATATCGGTTTGGATAAATTCTAACGGAGATCAAATAAACGAACAAGAAATACCGCGACTGGTATTCCATAAACACACGACGATGAAAGTGGAAAACATTTTTTTGACCGAACTTCGATTCCCGATAAGGAAAAAAAAAGCTTCGAATTTAAATGTTGATAAAAAAAACTTTGGGAGAATATGAAAAGCAATTTTATCCCAACAATGATACAACAACATTAGCAAAACGATCCAGCACCAAACTATATGTCTTGACCTGAACAAACCCTGTTTGCGGATTTTGATTTGTATGACGCCGCAGTTTTCAAGATTCATAACATAACTACCCTCGATTTGATTGCAATGCTTTTTATCGTGATTTTATAAAATAACCCGGTTTCCGTGATTTTGATATACAAGGCCCTCGTTTTTGAGATTTATACCACAACTACCCTCGATTTCATGAATTTAATCGCAACGGCGCTTCTTTGCGTGATTTTTTACAAAATAACCCTTGTTTCAGTGAATTTAAAATTCAAACCCTCCTATAAGTGATTTGATTTGAAAAAAGCTTCTTACAAAGTTTTATTTTGTCTGAATGACCCCGTTTCCGGGACTTGTTTATATTGGAGAATTTCAAAGAGATTTTTGCTTAACCGCAAAGCAATAACAACGGTTAGAGATGATCAATGAAAAATGTTGAGAGACAAACAAAGAATCGGTAAACCGATGGTATTGAAAATCCTGTCTGCCGAATATTCACTTCGCACGTTTAAAGAAACTTATCTTAATGAAGGTAATTCTTCATTGAATGTGGTTCTAGTTGATTCTGAATTGGGTGTTGTGAATACGATTACCCGATCGTTGAGCAACACTCGGTTAACCGTTTGTAGGGGTAAATTTAACATAACCGATTCCTGTTTAAACCCTACATTTGATTTAAAACGCAAATTATCAGGAAACATCGGTAAACCAACTATCTACTTTAGCCTTGCAATTTTGTTTTCCTTGTGTTTTGATACAACGCTTTTTCACATATTTTGTGCAACTTAGACTTAGGGTCGTAATGATTTTGACTCCAATTCGGAAATGGTTTGTGAGTTTCTGTCGATAGAATTGACTTTTTTTTATCACCCTAGAAAGTCTGACTTCAGGTTTTCCATGTTTGTTTACAGTTTGTTTTTACGTTTTTGCAGGGTTTTGAGAGGCTTTTCACGGTTTTTGCTAGGTTTCTGGTGGTTTTTCACGGTATTTGCAAGGTTTCTGCTGGTTTTTCACGGTTACACTTACCCGACACCGAGGAATCGAATTTCGAATCGGGAAAGTTTGAAAATACTCCATAACCTGACAACAGTGTTGTACACATCAAAAAAAAACTCAAAGAAGCCGCCGTTTTCAATGTCGATTTTTTGAACAAGGCTCTGTTAACTGTTTAATTAAGACGTCATTGATACATAACGTGACACTAGTTTTGTAGGGAATGCAATCTTTTCAACTCGGAATTGCCAACTCAATTTATAACATCCTGGGCGAGATTGTGGCATGAATAAATTTAAATAGCAAATCCGTTCTCTTCGAAACCTTCACACGATATATCCGCTTTGGGGGTCGATTACGTTCAACATTTTAGCCCTATATAAACACACTCGGACCCGGTAAAACCACTTAACAATTCACGATAATCCGTCTCAAGGTAACAATGTCTTTGATCGCAAATTCATCAAAGGAATTTTTTCATTTTAACTCTGAAATATCCAGTTAAACCGGCTTAAGAGGCTCCAGTTGTTTTTATTTGTGTTACAATCTCTCAGAACAAGGCTCAAGATCAGATGGTACTGATATGAAAGGAGCCACTTTGTCCGCACCTTTAGTCTAAACGAGTCTCTGGACAGGCTTCTACTAGAATGGTGAGCAAGGTTTTAAAGAAAAGGGCCAAAAATTTGCCCACTCATTCTGGCGGGCCATGTAAGTGTGACGGAAAAAGTTACAGTTTATGAACAATATTTACAGTGTTACAAAGCAAAGGTGGGAAACAATGACCCTCGTACCAAAACTAAATTTAACGGCAATCTTAATAAATTCCTTGAGCTATTTTATCTGAAACATCAACATTTGATTTCAGTTTAATTGTGACAGCATCAGGCGGGCCCGCGGGCCGTACTTTGCCCATGTCTGTACTAGAACGTAGGAAGCTGCACACGTCTTTAGACAAGCCACTGGTATTTACAGAACTGCTATGTGTTTTTGACATCATGTGATGCAGTCACTAGTTGTCACATATGCCCAGAACAAGGCTAACGATAAGCATCCGCTGATACGTACGTGGCTGCAATGTATTTTGAGTAAGGTGGCCATTTATAAAACCCTTACAGTATGGAGCCAGAACTATACAAATCCAAATATCCAAACACGGCCCTAGTTAAGAAGTCACTCGTACTTAAAGATCCTCGGATATGCTTTATAATAGATACATAAACCAGAGGCGTACCAACCAAGTGGTGTTCGTGTTGGTCCCGCCCTTGTTTGAAATGTAAAGTGCCAACATAACAATTTTTGTAAGTCGAAATGGTTTTTAGACCCTCAAGACGAAGTCACGCTATCTTTACGATCTAATTTGGCAATTAAAAATCTGAGAACCACCGCCCCAAATGTCCCCTTCTTTGAAAGGCTACGCCCCTGACATAAACCAAGTAGGCAGTTGTAGCGCTATATAACACAATATATATTTAAAAGGCAGTTGCTTCATTTTTACGACTAATTTTACGCCTATCGGTATGAATAAGACTCGCAAGGCACTGCGAGGTAAGGATCTGCAATATTTTGAAACGACGTTTTTTTCCTTTTGGGCATGGTGGGTATGGGATATAAACCTGAGATTTTTAACCTGCGATGCCGCAGTAAGACTAGAACAGGGGGGGGGGGGGCATATTAAATTATACAACGGGCCGGATTTGGCCCGCGGGCCGTAGTTTGCCCATCCCAGGTCTAGAAGTTTACCGACTCAACCATCGAGGCCATATTTTCGTTTGATAATCTGATCTTTCCCATAAATAAATAAAAAGTAATGATAAGATTTTACCTTTCCCGGAACCGATCTCTCTAATTGACGGTGAAGCCGCAAATTTCACTCTTCGTCCAGTGGGGGTGGGGGAATTACCGGTTGGGGAGGCATGAAAACTATTTCTATGGGACAAGGGGTGGGGTGTGTGAGGGGTATGCGGGGTATGTGGACTTTGTGTGGCGGACATTTTGCATTCTCAAATAGTCACATTGAATGCCACTCAGAATACTGTTTGAATACCTTGACGCCCCTTCCTATTACGTCAAAATGTGTAGTTCAATAAACACAACTACTTCGCCTTTTAAAAAATATGATGACGTAACTTTGTATTTTGTCACTATCGTAATTTATTGATACGGTTGCGGGGACACTTATCCAAAACACGATGACGTCACTCCGTATTACGTCACAATTGTAATTCCCTGGCCACGATTACGTCACAAGTACTAAGTTTTTTCGATATAAAACCAATGATTCACTAACTTATGAACGCTCTTCAAATGCCATGCAAGCGATTTTTCGGGGCATTTCATACGCTTACCAGTGGGCATTATACGCAAGCAGTTTTTAGTAGTATATTGTTATGCTTCCATTTTCCCGTGAAAAATGTGCTATGTGTCCGTTTGAATATTACCCACATTGGTATGTGGCATTCACACACAAGGCGCTAACTTATTTGTCGGACCAAGTCAAAACTATGTAAACCGGTGGCTTCCGTAAAACCGACATCATAGATAATGTTTTACAACTGATGTAATAACTTCAGAGGAATCTGGGCTGTGATTCAAAAACATTAAAACGAAGTAATTCATGACTCTTTCTTACTCTAACACAAATACATTTTTGCATCTTATATCTGACCCTCAGATAATTCAACTATTCAGATAAAAACGAATAGTTATCTTCACTCCTTCTACAGTTTGCATTAGTCTAGTCCGGAGATGTGCATCATTTTTGTCGGCGGGCCATGTAACCATACTCAGACATCTATCAGGACCAAACACACACAAAAAAAAGAAATTTATCCACGCGGGAAAAGCGAAAGTAAAGTATGTGGCTATTGCTTACTCATGTAGTAATGAAGAAACCGGACAAAACGGCGAAAGATTTAACGCAGCAGGATTAAAACGAGAATATCGGTCAGAGACCGAAGACTTATCGATCGAAAATTAGGAGGTCCCCGAAACAGCGCTCTTACTCCATAGTAACACCTTGTGTCCCATCGCTAATTAATTAATAACTCGCTAATTATAGGACATAATCCATCCAAAATCGATAGGCTTCTGGTACGACATGTGATGAATGCACATGCAAAATCTGGAGCAGATTCAATCTCGCTTTCGTAAGATATCGCGAGCATCTAACAGACAGACAAATACCTATCAACATACTTACCGATTAAATAAATCGATGAGTAACAACATAATGTGTTTTTATCCACGTGATCAACTTATTAAGCATAAAATTTCGAATTCGGATTCATATAAACGAATTACATATAAATTCAACTTATTTTACAGGAAAATTTTAGCGTATTCTGAACAATGAATCAAACACCCTTTGTGATGTCAAAACAGCCAAAATTTGGGTCAGTTGTCGGGCCCGATAAGGGTCATTATGAAAAAATAATTAGCCTCTTTGCTACTTGAACCATCCTAATTAGTGAAAAACTTTTAAATCAATGTTCCACCAGTGGCAAACAAAAGCTACTTTTTTACAACAAGAATTAGGCAAAGCGATCTATACATAATATTAATGAATTACTCACAATAACATATAAATTCAATATATTTTACAGCTTAACTAAAAGTGCATAAATTACCTAGTTTTATCTTCACTTGCTTCTTTTCCCGCCTTTTTTCACTCAGTTTCATTGTCTATTCTTACGTCACAAACTGATTACCCTCAATAAACTATTATATATATGAATTACTCGATTTTTTCCAAAAAGTATATTATCAAAAACTTCTCGCTTTCCCTCAGCTTAATTTGAACGATTGACCGTCACCCTTTGATATTATATCCAAAATGTTTTGTCTATTTGTCCCACACAAAATTACCGCTTTAAGTATTTTAAAATTTGATCCGGCGATTGCAAGTTTTCTCAAATATTCCCATCTTTTAACTACAGCGTAAGCGTACGAGTACGCAAAACTGGGTTTTTACAAAAGTTTACCTAAAGAAGCGCCCCCAATCTTCAGCTAAAAAAATGCTGCACTGACAGAGGAGTGGCATGCGACCACTCACTTTCCCTCGGTTATAAATACAGAAGTGTGCTTCACCTAAAGTTTTCGAGTTCTCGAATACAAATAGTACCGATGTAAGAGTTATATAAAAACACCAATTCGCTAATATAACTTCGTATTGATTTTCATACACTTCTTTCAACGGAAGGCCCCAAAGAATCAACTGAAAAAGTAGATTTTTATGGGGATATCAAGAAAATGGTTTTCTCAATACTAATGTAGAGAGAACGTTGTACGATATAAAACCTTGTTTAATCGGCAAAATAGATTTGTAGCTTTGATCTTATCCGATTTGCGGTGGCGAAGAAGATATTCAGCCTTTGAAGAAGAAGTTCAAATAAACACAGTGACAAAGTTTCACGAGATCAGCATATACAATACCCTACCTAGGAAAGCGGATAATTCGTTATTATACCAACAAAAATACGATACAAATTTTTAAATATTTAAAACTGACGCAATCAACTGTGAGAGCCCGAGCGGCCACACTGCCATGAATTACTCTCCCGCCCTTTTTCCATCACCGCCTTCCCCCCCATAAAGCCGTATTGTAGCCAGAACATAAACTAAACCGAACCAAAAATATTATTAAAACTGCTGCACTTCAACAACCTAATAGAAATATGCACCTTTCGCCATAGAGACAACATACAACGGAGTACTTCAAACACACACTACAATATACATATTTAAAAAACATCGCAAAAATTATAGTAAATTCGGAGTTATTACAAATAGGCACGGTTCAAGAGTCGTATTATGTGTGGCCATTTATGATTCGTTCACAAAACACGCGGCCTAAGCTTGTTCGTGAATCAAAATAATAAAACGATAAAATACAACTACCAACACTTTCATTTAAATTTACTCTAATTTTTAACAGTACGCCTAATTAATCATAATTTAATGTCAACACCTTCTTACGCACGGCCCATAGTTAATCCCAATCTGTTTTACCATTTTCCATACTTGGTAAATTATTAGTTGAAACTTTCACATGTAACCTTAAACAATGACTGTTTACTCTTATTCAAGGAGTTGCAAACAAAACTGACTTTATTAAATTAGGTCTTTTCATATCAACTCTACCGTGGTTAATTAAATTTGATGAAGTGCTTCCGTACAATTTGGGTGGTGGTTCGAGTTGTATATTGAGACGTTTAGGTGGTCGTTGGAGTCGGATATTTACAAAACTTCGGGTTGTGGTTTAGGTTTGGCATCATATAATAAAACGTTTGATGGTCACTAGAGTGGGGAAATGGCGTAATGGAGTCGGAGAAGTGGTTGGAGTCGGATATCCGTGGAACCCAGGTGGTGATTGGAGTTTGATATTAATAAACTTAGAGTGGTGGTTGGAGTATTTTTACCCGAGTTGAGCTTTTTTCAATTCCGATGAATAATTTTAGAATTTATTTTTAAAGAGTGAATAAAATGTATGTATATATGTTTATTTGTCTCAAAATGTAACAGTATTTGCATGATATAATAGAGAGATTTTCAAGCCCTGGCTGGCCTAAGATACAGTTGTGCCACATTTAACCCTAAACAAATATACCTGCAGTTTAGGACTGCTGCGTAATATAATAGGACAACATACACAAAATAACGAAAATATTTCTGCAAAACTCCAAGTATAATTCACAAGACAGAGATTTGCGGCGCCCTGACGATCCATACAATAGCAAGTTTATGGCATGTCCATGTCCCAGGTTTAAGTGTGTAAGGTTGGGAGCAATGTTCCCTCTAATTTTTGTAGTATGTGTGCGCAGACATCTATTCGTGTGCGCAGCCTCTGAAAGCTGTGTGCGCTCGCACTGGTTGGGAGTACAGCATATATCAGATTACGACCCACAGGCGGGATATAGCCCAAAGAAGTGTTACATCCGATCCACTTATGCCTGCTAAAATTACGACTATAGTTTTAATGGATAGAAATTTCGGTTGAGATTATCGATGAAAATAACTATATCTAGTTAATTGTTACGTATCAACAATAAATAATACGAAAAAGTAATTTTAGTATAGAATTACTTTTTATAGAATGAATTGATATTTCGCGGCACACAGTATGGGCCCCACTGATTAATTCCATACAAACGGATGGGCCGAATGAAACTTATAAAATCGCCTCTCCCATTGTATAAACATCAAACGATACCTAGATCCCTCTTATTGTATTCGTTACAATGGCCCGCTGTATGATCAAACAATTATCGATACACTAGGTATCTGTTCACTCATAATACCTCTCTGTACACCCAATCATTACACCAAACAATCACAAATTATGGTTATATCATGTAAGGGCCAGAGATATTCTAAACTCTTTATCATTGTTCATGCTTGTTGCATAAAAGGAAGCGAACGCCATTGTCCAAGAATTTATTTTTCTGTAAATTTTAATTGTTACATCACAAAAGCGAAGAAAATCGAGTATAACTTGCGCACAGCATTGAGATAGGTCATCTAAAACTTGACTTTCGCCGACGGCTTAATCACGTTGATAAAACCCAAAATTGAAAAAGAAATGTCTCCTTTATATACCTCGATTGAATCTATGATCACATTCTTGTTTTCCACATTGAAAATGAAAGTAAGACAGTGCGCTTCTCGGAACCGGCGGTCGCCGAAAAGTTTAATGTATTGTAAGGGGTCGCGAGCTTAAGTTTGGTAATCCCGGTTATGAACCATTGGAAAGACGTAAACTAGAAATATGCGAAGACAAATTATAATTACTATCTTGAAAAGAAATAAAACTGGAAACAAACCTCTTGCTCTCATGAACTCCATTTCCATCACAACACTAGATCGCCTACTCCGCGGCATTTTTGCTGATAATCGGGTCGTAAGTTCACGAAACGTTGATTTAGTTTCTAATGCCTTCCTACGGCGCTAAGCCTATGTCTGACATACTTATGCTACTATACATCGTTTTTATTAAAGATATATTGTAACAAATTTAATTTCTAAAATTTTGAATATTCCGAAACACAATTTTTTCATTAATAAAACCTAAAATCAAGGGCCTATTTACGTTTACTGTTACCCACCCATCAAACTATCGTCCTGGGTGCTATCCTCAATTTCTGATCTGAGTCGGTGTCAGTATTCAGATTTTCTGGAGTCTGAAGAAGGGTCAAAATTTTCAACTGGTCCCAATTTTAGTGAATCGGTCTATTTTTCTGTTCATTCCCACGACAATAAGCTTATATCCATCAGGATCTTGGTACGCTTGTATTTACTAGTTAACGACACAACAATAACTTTGTTGTTTGTTTTGATAAACTTATACGGGACCTTCAAGGATTTAAAATAGAAAACGCCCAAAAAGGTTGTGTTTGAGAAAATTTCGACCAGATAAAATAAAATCCGGTTGACAAAAAGGTTGACTTTGAGTGTGCCGGACTCTGATATTGAAAATTTAAACTCCAACTGCCGATTCCGAAATAAGGAAGTATTGAATACGGAAATTTTGACGTTCTGTGACTTACAACTTCTAGAAATTTGAAATTACAGCTGCAACCTGTTCGAAATTTAAACTTTAACTCCTTATTTAGATGTTTAATTATCAATTTAAAATACGACTTCCGATTCTATCTTCAATACCTGTCAATAAATGCCGTAGCTACAAACCAATTCTCCGCAGCCTTTTATCGTTTCGCCCATTTTCAATTGCGCACTTATCCTCAGTCCCATCGTTATAGCCAGCCACCTAAATATAACGTGCTTGAGACCATTTTTAAAACCGTATTCTTGTTATAAGCTTCAATACATGCCGAAAGCGCTTCCAGTCAGCTTAATGTCCAAAGTATAAATATCAGTTGTAAGCCATGTAATACACGCTACGTATGCGTGTTGGCAAACATTTGCGAAGATTTTTGAGCCTTGTGTGAATCAGTATTACCTGGCGCCTAATGCTCAACTATGATTATGTAGTTTCGTTAACTTTCGGCATCACAATGGTTTCACTTAACTTTGCTTTAGATATGATTCTTCAATACCTTTGACTGTGTACACGTCAGTCTTTGCATTTTAGTAGTCGCTCACGGCTGGTGAACTAACTGGTAACAAAACGAAAGTATGTGGTTCGCCGTATGATTCAGTCAACCTAACGACTTTCCTCTAATCCCGGGTTAATATAAAATCCCCACCGCCTATCTTCAATATACTACCCGCAGAGAGGCTGGTTTTGAATCCCATACATATATGACTATGTGCTGTTATTAAGCGATATAGAACTATGCGTGAATAACTCTAAATAGTATGATGGAAAACCTGAGAATCTGGAAGTGTCCTAAAAACTTGCGAATAAAAACATACGTAATTATGTAATAATGATCTCCGGTATGTCATTATCACCCACAATCGCGTTTTATTGATTTCCGACAGACAAGTAGTCTAAATGGTACCAAAGTGGCCCGACCCCGGATGGCGAACCACTGCCCCTGGTCCAGTTTATGTAGGGTATGGAATTAGTTAGCCAGTAAGTTATTTCAGACGCATAGACTTGATTGTGGCTCCGTGAATCAACCACGGTGGCTCTATTCTAAACATATTTTTTTAATAGTCATCCAGTTGATAGGAAACCTACTAGGATGTCTTAATCCTATGACAAACCCCAAACACTACTGCCATAAACCTAAAGTATGCGTTATACCTATTTTTATATTTATCCCGGGGAAATAAAAGCCGACATTACGACTCAATCACATGGCGAGCCACACACCACAATATTGCTCTGAATATTCAAATCATAACACTGCCAAGCCGACGAAGTTAATCCTTGGTAAATAAGCCCCAATGTTTTAGTATCCCTCACTCATCCTAGCTAAGCCTGACCACTAAACACTTCGCGTAGACTAGCACCACTTTACCGGCACAACGCGACTTTTACGGAGTAAACACTCAAAACAATCACGCGCGAACAGAAAAGATCCTTGCTTTTATTATTCTAACGTCTTTGGCCACCTTTGGTAAACGCCATTCGTTCAAAACGCTCATTTTTAAATGTTAACGACTATTAAACCACGTATAAGCACCCTTATACGATCTCAAGCGTCGCGTCTGTGTCGTCATAACACAATAGCCAATTTCCTTTATTACAAAAGAATAAGATTTTGAAAATTCAGTGTTACATCATACATGGTCTATACATTAACAATCGATAATAGATGAATAAATAAATCACACCGCTACTGTGAAAATATAAGTAAAACTAACATAATTTTTACAGTATTAGTATAAATAGTAGTATGTTTTCAAAAATGATACAGTTTTAAAGGTTTAAGCGCGGATCCAGTATACACAACTTATACATAGATACATGGTATGCGTAAAGCACGTATCTAGCTACTGCACCTCCATCCTTTATTCTGTGATAGCTTACATGGTAACCGTACATGTGTATATCCTCGGGTTCAATACACATGCGGGTGCTAAAACCATGGGTTATGGTTAGTATGGGTTCAAATATCCGTAAAACAATTTTTTTTTTCATAGGTGCAATAGTATGCAGGTGCAATTGTCGTGCGTTCAAATGTAAAGGAACCAGCTTACATATCTGTAAGCGGAAATACGGCTTCTTTGGAAACTAAGAACACATTTCTAGCACGAGAACAGACAACATAAATTATGTTGTCTTATAGGAGTCCTATACAAACGAAGAATTAGTATAAATAGAATGTTCCATACACGATACAATTTTAAAGGTTCTTTTTGATTGCAAGGCTATTTAGTATATATAGACAAGCAGTATACAAGATATAAAAAACGCGGGTTACATTTAGACAACTTGTACATACGGTGTATGACACGTACAGCTCAGACAAAGCCTCCTGCCTCCAGATCATGATAGGCTATCTAGCATCGAGGGAAATGATTTGAGTAAATTAATTTGTTGATATTAAATGGGCCTATTAGTAGCTTCGACAAGTTTAAGCACATTAAATACTATCTGTTAATAAACTTGATAATATTGAAACCTAGTATTTGCAAGCCTAAACGAACCACCGTCTCATGCTAAATACAGATGGTATCAAAATACAATGAGACGAAGGCAGTCCATAGGTGACAATAATCATTATTCAAAACACAACAAATAGAAAAATATCATAACTTTGTATTAATAATTAAGACCACCGTTGTCTAATGATGGCCCACACAAACGAATTGCTCGGGGACCAAGAGATAGTCATAACACGATATTAGAGAATTGAGAAATTCCAAGCCTAATTGAAACAACGCATGATGCTCTTAAAGTCTTACGCAGTGAGACGAATGCAGTCCCGAAGTGACAATAATTAGTGATGAAAACACAACAACAACAATTTGAGCAGTGATGCCGTGATAATGATTAGGGCCGTCCCCGACAAATGAAAAAACAAATTGCTCAGAGCCTGGTCTAAGTAGAGGTAAGGATAATACGAAAATAAAACCTTCGATTCAACGAAGTACAAATTACCTATTAAAGTAATTTCACTTTAGGAGTGGTACGGGTCTAGTTTTATTTAGCACTTTAGACCTAATGTTATCAACAGCTATGGAAAGGCGCGCGACTCCCTGCGGCCACATATGTAGCACCCCCGTTAAGGTTTCGGTACTTCCGTAGTATGTGTACCAGGTTAGGGTTAAGCCATAATTTTATTCCGATTCTTCCTATTTTAGTCCTATTACAAGTTCAGGGACTCTCTGTGTTAGCCAAGTGAATATACCCCTTATTCTTAGGTTTCAGTCCCTTTACACAACTTGGATGTAAAATAGGCAAACAAAATTAGTTACCTCCATATTGGTACACACACAGCGCCAAGGTTGGATTACAAACAATCTCTCACTACACCATCGTAATAACATCGTAAAATTCTTGTTAACTTTGCGCATTTTTCTATATTGTCTGTATATATTTGCCTACTCGAGGGGTCGTATCAAAATGGGCTTGCCTCGTTTGTATAGAAACATACTTTAGGAACTCAAGGAGTCTATTAATATATAAAGGTAAACTCGAGACATATTAAATTGTGAATAAAGCCTAAAGGCAAACCGTGCGTCTTCTATGATGGACGACGTTTGAAAAGAAGCTCAAAAAAGGCGAAAATTGTTATCATAAAATGTTTCAATAAAATAAATCTAACTCGGAAACAACTTACACTTGTATTTTTACTCAAATAATAACGTAAATCAATTCAACAACAGTCGTTCAAAATTATTAGTCAACGATCAAGAGGGAGCGTTTATATACATTGTCATGAGTGCCATTTTACGTATAGATACGTCACTGTGAATCTTTTTAAAACGTACCCTAACGCGCAATGCACGACAATATTTCTGAACAGTTTTAGTGAGTACGTAACTTTGTTCAGACATGCCCTCGCTTTATATAGCATTCTTAAAACTTCCTGTCTGTGTTTTGTTTCTGCTTTTTTTTCGCGCAAGAAAACAAAAATAATAAAAGGTGAAAATATAAACACCCTCATTCTCCATTGCCAAATTTAGTGCTTTTGTTACCACAAACAGCAGGATGTTCTTTTTTAATATTACACATCCGATTTTGTGTCCGTTCTTGACCGCGGAAGCGCAAAATATATAAAAAAGTTTAAAAAAAAAAAAAAAAAAATCTGACTATAACTTGTATAGCAGTATAGATCTCAACCTTTTATGGCTCGTGGCCGCCTTCAGAAAAGTTTATCACTCTTGCCCCCCCCCCCCTGTTTATCATTCCAGTGGTATTTGTAGTGTTATTCTGATTAGTAGATTCCAAATCCTATTATGTTCAAACAAATCATGCTCAACAAATTGAAAACATTCTGTGAAATAGCCTTATCAGGCAATGAAACCAGGGAGAACTGCGAGTTTACTTGTGAAGGGAACTGTAAAATCAGTTCTGCAGCTATCATCTTTT